CACTTTTATTGGCATCTCAGTAACAGGATTTAGTGTCGTTAGTAGCACAATGAACAATAGTTCTACACATTACCTTGATGTGTTCAAATTTGTCATCGTTACAGTAGTTGACATCACAAATAGGACATGATTTCTGAGGATGCCGTTCACCACAAGATAAACATTTATCAAATCTGTACTCATCATTATATCCTTGTTTGAAACTGTTCGTAAAAGCCAGTGTGTATCTCGTCTCAGTAGCTCAGGGGATGTTCGAAGTAAATGGAACTGGGTATGAGTATCGGAGTGAAGATCAACTATGCAATCCAGATAAACCCGGTTAACGGTTCCCAAATAGGAGGAAAGGACGCGCGTCCTAGATTCCACTACTATCCACCATCCATCCCTGCTTATATTACTTGTTAATTAATGGTAAAACGGAGTCAATTCACGCAAGATATACAAACACCATAAAAACACTGATCAATTGCAGTCCAAAACACCAATGAGACAGTTCAAATAACCAGTGCAAATGAATCTTTGTGGAATTCTTTCCCATATTTCCTTAAGAATGGGAACCATTGATTAATCAAGAAATGAGCAGTAATGTGATCGTCGGATGATACTAACACTACAGTGTTTTTCTTGGAATCTATCATTCTATTTAGCTCTATTAAGATAAAACTGTCACTAACTTATCTAATCTACACTTTTCCTCATTCCTATGTAAGTATCTGCTGAACTATATAGAATCGGTCATCATAATACTTAACTAACTATAGTCCGTTATCTAGTTTTTACTAAACAGTAAATAATCAAGCAATATATCATTTCTTATGACCTATTGACCCTATCAATATGTGACGGAATGATACCGCCAATAATAGAACAGTGACTTGTCGACCGGATCAATGATTCATTAAAACCTATACGACTAATCTAGAGTATTTATTAGTCCTTATTACTGGCTAGCCCTCCTCGTTAAGTCCAAAACACCGATCTCAGCATCCGTGATATGAATCAAGTATTTCAAGCAAACTAGATCTATATACAAATCAAACAGACGACATCGTACCATGAAAAAGTAAACAAAAACACATTCGTACAAGATCTAGCCAAAAAGTCTCTGTGAATATGAGAGATAGACATTATAAACTGAGTATAATTCAAGAACAATAAATCGTATCATAATAATTTATGAGTCAAAATGAAGCTTATAATAATGAGAAAATAAATATACGTCATCTAGTTACAGAACAAATATACAATAGGAATAGATGTATAGTATTAGTTCAAAAAATGGATCCCAACAGTTACTATTCAATATTCTCGTCAGGATATAAAACAATGAAGGATGGAACTGTTGAATGACATTTCAACAGTTCAGTTTATAACATCATTCTGTCTCCAAGAAAAGTTTATCCAGAATATTTAAACAAATAGTTAGATTAATTAAAACACAACATCCATGGATAAACTACTCCATATTCGTCTATATAACCATAGCCATATAACACATACTATACATCCAATAAAGAAACAAATAACTAATGCTATTATAATTTATAAGGAGCGAAATGATTTCTCATGTTCATTGAGTTCAGTTGTTTGTAAGGTTTTATTCTGAAGAAAAGAAAAGAAAAGACGAAACACCATACAGATTTACAATGTGAAATATAAGTCAGTCAGCTACAACTTAAGATCAGACACATAGATGCATCGGTCCAAGTTGCCATACCTCATTAAAACAACAAGATGAACACCGAATTCCTAGAAGTAGTTAATTCAATGGTGGTTGTGTATAAGGATATGATACATGAAGAACGAATTAGGAAGTAAGGCATAAAGTAATTTTAATATCACGGTTTAAGGGAAGATAGAGAGTGTCTACACCGATTCCAATGTCATCGTTGCTGATACCTTGACGTGGTGGGTAAGCTTGCCTATCGTGATGAACAAATCGATCTGGAACAATCGTTCCTCATGGTCCTACTATGCAAGACGAACCGATTGAAGAGCGGTGAAACTAAAGGCGGCAAACCCATTGTCCGATAGCGAAGTCGTACTGTTGACTGTACAGAGCTGTGACGGTAGTAGAGTGTTTCCTTCAGAGAACCAGGATAACAGCGATGCTGTCTTCCCACAAGGAGGGGTGGGGTTTTGAAAAGTTCGACCCTAAAAATGCACACCTTGTCTTATCACACGGATATACGTCTCCGGCGATAAGGTCTCAACAAGTACGGAGCTAACACGAAAGTTAATCACAAAAAGATCGTGTGTGACGGACCTCAAACAGTTGTCCCTTGAACACGGCGGTTACGCTCTCAGGTCATTAAAACCACCCCTAACCCAATCTTCTTTTCATATGCCTCTAGAAGATGTGAAATATGAAAACGATGTTGAAAGAAAAAAAACCCTGTTAAGTTCAAAGATTACTTACAATCTTTGTGCAATTATTTACTATCCAACCATTAATAAGAGTATCAAGACCATTACTACATTTATTAGCTTTTGAACACCAGTGGCATATCATATGAGGTTTTGATGCAGCTAGACATGTTTCATTTGAATCTTTCATGTAACAACTTTCTGTGAAAAGAACAAGATTGACTATGTTTCAAGTGATTGAACAAACGACAAATTAGTTACAAAACATGTAACTATAAATTAACTACATAATGGTGATTTAGAGGTTAAGGGAATATTACATTAATTGGGAGAATTTTCATCACCTTAACCAATGCGATCTTTAATACACTTTTAATCCAATTCATGTTACACGATAGTGTAGTGACGTACTTTTATCAAGAGAACGCGATTGGTTTAATGGAAACAATTATTATTATAACCAATTGTACCAGTGATTGTTTTACTGTACTTGTTTGTTTAACTGTACTAAAGGCATTCTTTTTTCCGTTGATTGTGACCTTTCATGAATTCGGTTAGGCTCAGTAACCACACTTGTACTCCTTTGGCACGATCTCGGTATTCCTTCGATACCACGACATAGTGTCCGGCCAACGGATCCGAAGTATTCTGCGTAGACAGCTGTTCATAAAAACCTGTATCTTCCAGATGAAAACGAAACATTAACAAAATAAAAATAATGATCAGAAAATTGAATTACCAAGGTAGTAATAGGTTTATTATTGTCCGTTTTTTTCAATACACAGATCAAGTTTGAGTTTGTTTTTTAGCAATGGTATGCTCAGTGTTAAATAAATACCGAGCTACTGTATTATTAAGAGCCCTTCCCCCCCCACCGACCCACGCACACACACACTCTCAGTTTCTATGGTGCATGTTCAGAAATACGAACATTTATTCTTCTTTCTCGATTCTTTCAATATATGTGCTTTGCCATGAACATATAAATGTTCTTCATTATTGATTTCTTATTTTGTGCAATAATTATGGTTGACCCCTCTTCAGTCATACATTCTAATTATTACGCAACTCATCTTATCACTGTTTTTTTGTTTTTTCAATTTCAGGAATCTTATTCAAATCCTTTTTTTTACCTTGAACATTATTACATAATTTATATTATCTATCAATGAACGTTACTCAGTTATTACATCACCTACCCCCCCGCACATGATTTTTTTGTTTTTTGTTTGTTGATTCTAACACTGAATGATCTCCGATTTATTCTTACATAAATATGGTGATCATTTGGGAATGTTGGTCATTTCAATTCATTTCATTGTTTCACACTATATCTTATCTCAATGTAGTAGTAGTAGTAGTGGGTTTGAGAATGTTGGTTGGCGGCCTATGCTCTATTGGGTATAGCAGACGTGAGTTAGTAAGTAATATGTTAGTTTCAGCCATTCTCACCAATCATATCAGTTGCTAATGTCTCACTTCATCATGTCACCTGCTCAACTACTTCATTCATACAATCAGTTGAATCAAGCTACACTGCATAATACCAAAATTCGAATTCACACATACCAATTTACACTGAATATGTGACCATGGAGAATGTAGTTTGATCTGTGTGGTTCATTTCTCTCATTTACTCAAATAGTTTAATATTGACTTGTATATATATACAGAATTGTTTGAAACTACTTTGAAGTTGTATAAAGTATGAGACTAATGACATTCACAATACACTGGTGTGAATGATAGTTGAGAGTGTAATTGAATTGCTGTTGTGTTTTGGTGTTCACTCACCATGACCGATGTATCCCCATATTAGCAAGTGAGCAAAATATTTATTGACATAATATATATGTCATATTATATCTAACCTTTCACTCTGCCGATAGCTCTTTTAGAGTTACTACAGTTCCCAAGCCCGGGTAAAGAAAGAGGGTTCGACATGGGGTTAGCAACCCTATCCCATAGAAAACTAACTTGTTAAAAAAATGCTAACCGGAAAAAATAATTGAAATCATTTAAACTGTGCCCTGGGAGTTAGAAGGTCTTCATTTAGAAGAGTTATGACGCCTCATGGTGAGAGCCCAGTTCCATCGGAAGTCATGAGGCCGATGCCCCTTCTAGCAACAATTTTTATTGGTACATGGAAGGTTCGAGTAATGTGGGTGAGTCAGTCAAATAGAAACAGAAATGAGGAGATATAAATTGACAGTACTAAGAATCAACGAAACCCATTGGACCGAGGCTGAACAGCAAAGGTTAGATACGGAAGAGATGCTACTATACTCCAAGCACGAAAAGGATAATACTTCATACACTCAGGTATCAGCTCTAATACTATTCAAAGATGCACTATATTGCACTTGTAGAATGGGAATCTCACGAATCTAGAATCATCAAAGCGCATTATTCTGGTGGGGTGTCCTATGTTCCTCCACGAGGAGTAAGTCAGTAACCTTAGTACATTTTTAATTGCGTTATATTACATAATCGTTCACATGGTCAATAGCTTAATCTTATTCATTTCAAATTCTTCTTCGTTTTATATATATATTTAGAATGATACATATGATATAATAAGACATGCTATTGATCAATTGTCTACAATTGCTTGTTTAGTGAATAACGTTGGTATGGGATTACCATTAGAGTTATTTACTGGAGAAATGGATTCACCAAATGAAGAATCAATAAGAAATATCATTCATTGTAACATTTTGTCTACAGTAATGATGACAAGTATCATTCTACCAAAAATGTTAACACAGAAAGGACCTAATCCTGGTATTATAAACCTTGCATCTTATTCAGCACTTAGAACAACTCCGTATTTAACTGTATATTCTTCAACAAAAGCATTTATAATACAATTTTGCAAATGTTTATCTGCTGAGGCATATCAAAAGAATGTGATTATACAAATATTATGTCCATTAACTATCTATACATCAATGACTAAACATGAAAAACCATCTTATTTTAATCCATCTGCTAAGTCATTTGTTCATAGTGCATTAAATATGTATGGTGTAGTACAACAGACTACTGGTTATATATTACATGAATATAAAGCTTATTTATTTGATTTATTACCAACATCATTGTGGATATTATTGACATATGCTAGAGTGAATGCACGTAAGAAATATGTATAATGGTATAGTATGGTATGATATTGTTGGGTCTCGATAAACATAATGAATGGTAACTTTTGAGATCCTATTGATGGACCAATACTGTGTGTATGTTTTTTTATCATATAATTGTTAAATAACTAAATTATTCATATTCATATTTTTCTTATAATGAGCTTTCTTTTGACTTATGAACCATTATTATACGTTTTACCATTCTTGAATTATACCCGATCTATCAATTACTACCTTCCATACTCACAGCCACTTTTGGCTAAATCTTGTACAAATGTTGTTTCCTATTTTTATTGGTACGATATGGTCTGTCTGGTTAGTATATAAATTCAGTATGTTTGAAATAAATGATTCATATTGCAGAGGCTGAGATTGGTGTTCTGGACTTAACTGGCTGGGCTAGGCACAAAGCAGGGCCAATAAGGACTCTAGACTGGTCTCACGGGTTTTATGCGTCGTTAATCCGGTCGATAATTCGCTGCTTCTGATTGGCGGCTTTGCGCTATAACAGATATAATACATTATCATTTCATTACAAGTGATAATTTATGATGGTTGATTAATATGAAATCTGTTTAGTTCTGATAGATATTTGTAATGATGAGATTTAGTTTGTTGTTGCCTTTGTTCTTTTTAAATGTAGAATTTGTCAAATAAACAATTAACCTTTATTGACTACATTATCACTAGGTATATAAATATATATGCCCTTAAACGCAATGGTACGACAGAGGATGGAAATAGTCAACTCTACCTTTGGAAATCGTCTCATATGGTAAAGGGTACACATCTACTAACAGGGAAGTCCTATTTACTGTCTTCTTGAGATGAAGGTGTTGCTTATGAAGTTGTGAGAAGAAAAACCGAATGTCCAACTTTGTAACCAGGTAAGGGAATATGGAAGATCAGCACGGTGGAATTGGAAAACCCTGATTACAAACCAATGGTGCACATGGACTCCAGGATATTAAAGAAGTAAGTGGCGTATGAGACAGTTGTTGGTCATCGGCTACCATGCGATTGTATCTCCTGACTTTGCTTCACTGCCCTGTGGATCAGACGCTTAGTTCAAAGGCTCCGGGTGCGGTATTTAAAGAAAACCACCTGCTTTGGTTAAGGCACCCTTGCAGTATCCTAGCCCTCACAAAAATTAAATGATTTGTATGGTGCATATTTATCAGTCTAGAATTGTGAAGATTGTTGAGTTTTTATTGCGATCATGAATCGGAAACTGTTTGACAACCCTCAAAAGCTTTTATCATTGAATTGTTATTTCGTCTTGGTATGTCATGGATTCACTGAAGTTAGATTTTAACATTGTTTGATGCCAGCTCAGCGGTCTAGAGGTTAAGCGTTCGCGTGAGACTAAAAGTCCTTAGTTTAAGTTACTCGTGCGGGGTTATGGATAAGCATTCTAGTGGACCCCATAATAGGAAGAAATGGCCGTCCAGTACATCCAAGTATAATCTGAATTAAAATTAAAGTTATCTAATTCATGAATTTTTACTTGATCAACATGTTTATGTTTTGTGAATCGAATGGTTATTTAAATCAAGAATCTTCATCAACTGACTATTCATCTTCTAAATTATGAAACTCGCAGATGATCATTAGTCATATGTTGAAGGTAAAACTGTTATTCTGATGATGTTTTACATACTGAATGAGTTTGAAGTATGCTAGATTTGAAGAATTACTTAAACCTTAGAGAATTTCGTGAATGTTCTGCATTATGCCATTGATGCATTTTTCTGGCTCTTCCAGATTACTTGGACTCACTCATGTGTTAACACTCTTTAAAGTTTTAACGGGATGTTTTACCAAACCATTAAACTGAGAGTAGCTCGCACCTGTAAATAGGTGACAATATTCAATATCATTAAGCTAGTTGTCAACAAATTTTCCTGTGAAACAGGTTTCCTTACCAGTTACTAATTCATTCTTTATTCCCTCACGACTGAATATATCATTCATCGCTCTTTGAGTAAATTTTCCACTAGGAATGTTCATCACTACCACTTCTAAACATTTTGAATTTCAGTTAACAGCAAACAAAACATAATACGAGTTAAGGATTAGCCGCAGTAATGTGCATGAATACAACGGCACTATGTATAAGATGCAGGTCAATGATTTCAAGTAGTCTTGTTGTATGATAATTTATTCAGAACAAACAGGACAGATTTTCGATTTACAACTTACTTCAGCATCAATCTTAGGCCTCCAACACGTCTAACAAGTAAGTGATTTTATTTTTTCTGCTCCCAGATGGGCTAAGTGAAGGTTTACTATTGAAAATCTAGGTGTAGGTTGGGGGTTGATTATCCTATCAGTCACTGGCCCTACAACTATGACTCTTAGAAAACTCGGAAAACCTACGATTGCATTGAATATTTCAACCTCTTTTCACCACGCTTATAATACTTCAAAAAAACTAACGAGTATTCGCTACAAGTTCTGTTACATTAACAGGCAATCATTGTACTAGTAGGCAATCACTTTAGTCAGATAATATTTTGAAAAATCAATAGCATGACAGAAAAGTTGGACGTGGTATGCTTTTAGCCACTCAGTGCTTGATGGTGAAAACATAAACACTCAAATTTAGATTTCATCTTTGGACTATGATACACCATTATTAAACAAAATACTTAGAGAATGATCAATTCATTTGTCTCCATACTAACAGGCGATTTGTTGGATACTCACTCAGTAGTGTAAGTATGATAGCTTGTTCGCTGGGTTGTTGGTAAACAAATGTCAACTCAAGTACTTAATTTTCAGGCTTAATGCATTGAATGGTATTCTGATATCATTGGAGATTCTTGTCATGCTTACATTGATTGATGACTTGCCTTTAAAAACCAAACATTCATGTTAAATATCTTCCAAATGGTCATACCTAACCTGTAGTTATATTTCTGACTATGAACCATGTTTCCAAAGTGGTTAGTTAGAAAACAATTCTTAATACAGTGTGAATGAGATGAGCTTTTTAACTCTAGAAGTTGACTGTTTCTGTGTAAAATAAAAGCTGTCTGGTGAGGAATCATATTCATACTGTAGTAAATAAAAACATGAGTGGGGGCAATCAAAAGTATTTCGATACGAAATTACAGAATATTTCACTAAAATCTGGGAAACATACAGCAAATACTTCATTTGTAAAATATCGATCCATTGTCTCAAACTTGGTTGTTCCTTTTTCAAATATCAGTCCATCCTCTCAGACTTCATTGTTCCTACATTTTCATACCAATTGCTCCCGTTTCAGTTCTTTCCTTCTCTGTCTTTCACTGAAATACATTCTATTCCTGACTATCGTTATACACTTCTGATGTGGATCTAAGTAGCTCACACCACACTCGTCTTCCTTTTAAAGAAACCGTTCTTGCAGTGGTTCCGCTCGCCGTGCCACTTTCTTCTTCTTGCCATCAAGATGTCGAATCTGTGGATCTAAGTAGCTCACACCACAATACATCCAAAGCGTTTGTTGATTCTTTAGTAAATTATCGGTCACTATTCAGTCTGAATAAATTAACTATACTTTATAGAAAACCTATAAATTTTCAAAGGTTTGGAGTGAGTTGTCTATTCCATGGAAGTCATACTATATAGAAGACCGTGAGAAACTCTACAAACACCCTGGAAATATTGTGAGTGTGAACAAAAGACACATCTTGATTAGTCAAACTTTTCTCAGATTCAAAAATGGGTAAGTTTTCATAAGCTCTTCTTCTGCTACAAGCCTACAGTAATTACGTTTTGAAATTTGTGAAAAAATCGAAAAATTACCATCATGGGTCTGTTTATTCCGGCATTATATTAATGCTGAACCTCAACATCTTCAAATACCACAACAAAAGTTATGGACTCACCGCGTACTATCACTAAGTATTGAGCGAACACTAATCTTGTGATATATATAACAAGATTACTGCATATGCAGTATACATTTTAAGTATTCAGTTATCACGTAGTGATTTTATATTTGTAGGGTCCTTCATTTTGTGATACCTCATAACAATCATTCAGCAGCAGATATATAACCATATATATAAGCGTATATATTAACATATATCGACCAACTAGCTTATATATAAGCTTGTTGGTCTATCCTGACGATAAATATTGAATGGTCGCCAGTTAGAATTTAGCACTTGAGGAACGGAGATATAAATGATATTTATTTTCTTGCTGCATATTACTAAAAACCACGATTGTGAGGACATCGTTATCTCTAGGCCTTTTTGTAACTTGTACAGCGAAAGGTTGTACACATTTCATAAATACACATGAATAGGGTTGACCGATTTACAGATATTGTGATGTGTTAAAACAAACAAAAGAACACAGATAACTAGTTAAAATATCTAGTGAGTAGGATCCAGTATCTCAGATACTTAATCAGCAATAGAAACAAAAGCAGAAGTTGAGAAGTTCTAAACATAGGTTTATAAACTTTATTCATATTTTACGTTGTAACTAGTATTACAGTTTAAGAATACCATATTGACTAATTGAACTAAATATATTGTCAAATAAATACGTGTTTTACAACTTAGAACAAACGAAACTAAGATGCTAAATCAATTACTGTTTAGTTTGAAATGGATTAGATATTGAGATAATGATGATGATGGGCAACAGATTATCAGAGAATAATAAAATCGTTTGCTAATTTTAGGTAAATATTTCAAGCTTTATTTCGTTGTGAATTGGCTTTTAGTTTCATGAGTTGTTTAGAAATTATTGCCGGTAACAAATCGTAAAGATATGTTTGTAAATCATGTCGAATATAACCAGTAGTTTGTTGTTCAACGCCAAACATATCCAATGCACTTTTAGCAAAGACTTTAGCAGATGGTGTGAAAAATGTGGTTTTCACTTGGTTGGTCATATTTGTGGATACACATAATGGACAAATCGCTTGTATAATCACATTCTTTTTATACTTTTCTGCAGCCAAGCATTTAGAAAATTGAATAATTGATGCTTTGGTTGAAGAGTACATTGTAGCATGAGGAAACACTTTCAAGCCTGCATAAGATCCAATGTTGATGATACCAGGATTAGGTCCTTTCTGTGTTAACATTTTCGGCAGAATGATGTTTGTCATTGTTACTGTAGACATAATGTTACAATGAATGATATTTCTAATTGATTCTTCATTCGGGGAATCAACTTCTCCAGCAAACAATTCAAAGGGTAACGCCATACCAACATTATTCACTAAACAAGCTATTGTAGACAATTGGTCAACAGCAGGTCTTATTATCAAATAAACATCATCCTAATCAAAAGAGAACACAAGATTGGTGGAAGTTGATTATTCCAATGTTTCTTAAGTGTTTTAGTGTTTGAATATTTGATGAAATTTCAAAAATGTCAACATAGCCTGTTGAGTTTGGATGGTGAGTTGTAGATAAATCTGAGACAAGTTCTCTACCTTGTTTCTCAATAGCTAACGCGATATACACTGAATGGGTGAGATCGAATATCTTGCTATTTGCCCAACTAGTATAGCATATTTTGATGATATGTGTCTGTGTATTTCGGTTTCTAATATTCACGACTGAAATCCAATCAGTGTTTGTCAGTTTGGGTGCATTGTGTGTGAATGCCTTGGTTTTAAGTTGAAGAAACTTTGATAACATTCCTGATGACAGTGAAATCTCTCTGTTTTCTCAAACCAATCGACGGTCAATAATAAACTGATATTCGTTTCAACAAATCAACCACACAAATCACATAAACTTCTCTATGCTTACATATTCAATGAGAATTTGTCATATTCGAATGTTGGTATTATGCAATGTAGCTTGATAACACTGATTGTGTGAATGTAGTAGTTGAGCAAGTGACAGGATCGAGTGAGACTTTGATCGCTGAGGTATTTGGTGAAGATGGTAAACGTTATATGGTGAAAATACTTAACTACAAATTTATCTCGTATTATCATCATTTCAGACACGTCAATTACCTCTCTATGATTCTCTCAATCTATCTCATTTGCAATTATCTTACTCTTTTATTCACACTACTCAAAACTAAACAAACACTTTATGACTAATCACCGTTTCACCTCATCGACTGAAGAAAGCGGGAAAACATTGATAGTGAATATGAAACACCTCGCATGTACTCGTGATTTCATTATGAATCCAACGCTGCATAGAACGTGCACCAATGTATATGCACACACATTCACTTGATCGCCTCGATTTAATGGTGTTTGTGAGATTTACTAAACAGCTGTGGAATATTGGTGAAATATTTCTGATATCAAACTGGTGCATTTCATGCATGTGAATCACAGAAATACTTTTCGTGAAAGAATGTTTTCAATCGCATTTGTACATTCAAATGCATGTTATCAATGATGATCATTTTGACATGTTCACATGACTCAAGTGTCAGCAATAACCCGACTAACAATCTATCAATTCAAAAGAAAACCGATCAGTGATGCATACCTCCTGCCAAATTTTCATACACTATCGAATGACAAATCTAACTGATCAATTAAGTCAATGAAAATGATTTCAAAATAATATGAATAACAGGATCATTGAGAATGGAGATTACTTTAGTAAAATCTGCAACCACAATTCGCGTTTGAACATTGTAGGTATTTGCTATGCGATTAGAAACGTCTGATAGTTGTTCTTCATCATAACTGATAAGCATGATATTGAGACCTTCTTTGGCTAGTTCTTCTGCATATGCTTCACCAATACCTGACGATGCACCAGTGACAACTGCCCATTCACCAGCTTTACGAAGTGTTTTCCGTTTAGATAAGCACCATTTTTTAAGTGTAAACTTGAAACAAATCTTCAACACTGCTATGATTTGATTATTTATCAAAGAAACTCCAAAGAGTATTAACAAAATGCGCCAATGATCTATGGGGAATGTTAAAATCTTTCCGATATCCTAGATTACAAGTAGAAAGAAAAGAAAAGATGTTCCGCTCTTAACGTACAATGCTCTGTGATACATATCAACGTGAAAATTCACAAACTATTTTAAATATAACTTAACTGTTATTAATCGTTTACATTATGATGCAGATTGAGATTTGATCTGTCCGATACTCCTCTGTTTATCATCATCATTAGGAACAAAGCCATAGAATGTTTTCGTCATCTATAGTCTAACGTAGCCATTTGATTTTACCGGTAAACCGTTTCCCTGTTTAGTTCATTAGAAGAAGTCTATTTTAGATTTTCTGTAGTTAGACTCGATAGAATGACCGACCGTGTCTCAGATGTTATGATCAAGATGATTTGACACTCAACAACTTTTGACTATATGCAATTTTCGGTTAATTAAAAATGAAAATCCTATCAGAAATCTTATTTCATTACACTTACTAGTTGACTTTCGGTAGTTTGACGAATATCCGATTGATTTGTAATATTAGACTATTAAAAACGATATAAAGAAACAGAAAAGCAAAATTACATTCCTTTACTCATCGTATTTGACAGCTAACAATATGTCCGTGATGATCAACCAGTGTGATATTCGTCTTTGGTTACCGCTGTGAATATTTTATTCGATATGAGACAAATTTATTTGAATGGGTGGGATGTTTATTCAAGATACAGTATTCTTATATTAAAAATTGATCTGAACTATGCTCAGTATTAGAACTCCTCCTGGAGGACCTATGGGCTATTGCCGGTTTCATGCCCGGATAAAGGACAAGGGTTTGGCATGACGCTAGTGACTCCATCCCGTAAAAATGCAACTCGCTAAAATAAACTAACGTTAACAATGCTCGGTATTACATGGATCATAACTATGGGTATTCTTCATTCATGTGATTTATTTTAATTAATAATTTTTATTAATCGACAAACCAACGATGATCTTAGAAGTATAAAATTCCCCCATCTCCTTGAATCACCCTTGAACAAGACACGAACACAAAACAAGGTGTGGGTGATGATAAGAATATTATATAGACTATGAGTAACTCAACCCTGACGAAACGATTTGAAATAGATTAGGCCTACTGAAGTAAAAAGATGGCTTGAAATAGTCTTTTATATGTTATGACGTCTTGGAGCTCATCTTGTCCGTCATACTGAAACGTAGCTTCTCACAAACCATCAAATTCGTTAGGTGCTTAAAAGATTTACTCTTCCTCGATGAGTGATTGAGAAGAGTCTGTCTAATTCGGTTTCCATCTGAACTCATTACAATCTTCGAAAACTTCATTCACGTTGCAATATATAATACTCATATAAATACATCGACACATCTACTTGATAGTTTTCATTGATCGACTACACTATGAATGTGATTTTCACTATGAGTAATTAAATTGTCACTTTTATGTGATTTCATCATTTGTATGTAGCTTGTGAAAATAGTGTTTTAGTTTTGAGATGGTGGAGAAAATTTATAACTCAGGTGGAAGTTTTCATTGATGATATCGTTTAGAAGAACGATGAAAGCTCCACGAACAAACCATCCTGCTCAGAGAACAAAACTCCATCAAAATAGTGTTTAGAATCCTTGACCATTATCATGCGACATACATCGAAGTGCTAACGGAGTATTCTTGTGAATGTCATACAATTGCTAGTCATTTGATGTTATACTATTGTGGACTGTATTCGTAACAGTGAACCTGTGCAATGGTAAACAGGAATTATTATGGTATACTAATGTGTAGATGGAAATCAGTCATTAAGTCAAATACCTGAACTACCTGTGAGATATTCAGCTACTTATTAACATAATGAGGTTTTACAAATTGTATTTCATTGTACTTACTAGTTGACTTTGATTAGTTTGGTAAATATCCGATTGATTTGAACTAGCCTATTGAAAGGGATTGAAAAGAGATACAATGGCAAAATTACGTTCTATTACTGATTGTAATTGACGGTTAACAGTACTTTCGTGATGATCAACCAGTGTAGTATTCGTCTTTGGTTACCACAGTGATATTTTATGAGATATGATATTGAATTTTTTGGATGGGTGGGATGTTTATTCAAGATACAGTATTCTTGTGTTAGAAATTGATCTGAACTATGTGCTCAGTATTAGAACTCCTCCTGGAGGACCTATGGGCTATTGCCGGTTTCATGCCCGGATAAAGGAGGAGGGTTTGGCATGACGCTACCGACCCCATCCCGTAAAAATCTAACTCGCTAAAAAAATACACTTACGCTAACAATGCTCAATATGACATGCATCATCTGGTGCATCATTTATGTGATTTTATCTTAATTAATAATCGGTATGGACATACAATCAATGTACCCAAATGAGCGTATGTTCGACTAGCGTCGCAGTCGATGTTTTTAGACTAGCAATTCATCACGTGTAACAGACGTGGTGTTCTTGCTTCATGTCATGGGAATTGCAGCGTATCCTCATTTGTTCCAAGTATAGTTTAAGAGCGACATGGATATAACAGAATAATTCAGTATTATTTCCTTGGTTACAATGAGAATAACATCTACTACTCGAATCGAACAGCTTGCATTAAGGTGGAAAATTATTAACTACTCAAAACAACTTTCAACTAGTATCAAAGCGAGAATCTTCAATTCGAATGTCAAGGCAGTTGTACTATACGGAGCTGAAACTTGCAGAAATACAACAACCACCATCAAGAAGGTACAAGTATTTATATATAGTTGTCTACTGAAGATACTCAACATCAATTGACCAGATACCATCAACAACAGCCTACTATGTGAGAGAACAAACCAGCTTCCAACTAATAGAAAATTAGGAAAAAACGATGGAAATGGACAGGACATATATTATGCAAATCATCAAACTGCATCACAAGGCAAGCCCTAAATTGGAATCCTGAAGGGAAGCGGAAAAATGGAAGGCCAAAGTACACATTACGTGGGAAAATAGAAGCAGATATGAAAAGGATGAATAACATAACTGGAAGGAGCTTGAAAGGATTGCCCAGGACAGGGTTGGATGGAGAATGCTGGTGAGCGGTCTATACTCCTTTACGAGGAGTAACAAGCGTAAGTAAGTAAGTTGTCTTCCTTTCCCATCTTCATTTTAATCACAAATTTGTTACTATACTCAATAAGAAAGTGTCCGATCAACCGACAATCTCGGATCAAACGTTCATTCTGAATAACCTCAATAGTATATAATAAACCATACACAGTGTAATAACATTAATCATATTGACGATAAACATAATCATAACCACGATGTTTAAGTCGCTTTCAAAATCTATTCAACTATTATCAAATAAAATGACGTACCATTTGCTTGTGAATAGTAGGTTTTGGTTCTTATTCAAAGCTTCACTTAGGTTAACACTTGTATATATATATTCAAATTTAATGAGAATTTATAGGACAGTAATGATAAATTTATAATTATCACACCATAAACATAAACATTTCCATTAACCTTTTTACTAACTAATAGTTAATGTGAAATTTGTATAGAATTAGTTAAATAGTTCAGATCAACTCCGACTTTATTTCTTTGATCTATTAATAATAGATTTGTGTATTGTTTTTTTTTCATTTTAGATCATTTAATTGTACAACTCTTATGACCATTCGAAATACTGTCTTTATTCACACTCTCAATATGAGATGGTGGTTGAAGGTGGTCGACAGGAAACCGGTGGACCCCGGTATCGTGCTAATTGGCACTCGTCAGCAAGGCGTACCTGTAATCTTGAAGGAATTGGTGCTCCCCAGGGTCTAGGGTTTCCTGTCGACTACCTCCAACCATCATCCAACCTCAAGTATAGTGCATACAATGTGAAGTCACCTAGACTGGTGGTCACATTGTAACATCGTCAATTCAATCTCCACTAATAAGGACTAGACACGCATCACGCTGATCACCACCCAGTGATCAATCAATTGTGACACTTTCAATATGTTATCCATAAAGACAATGAAAGCTATTCAATAAATATCTATATCTCAGAGAACAGAATAAAACTTATATAATTTAATGGAGCTGTGGATCTCCGAATAAAAGTAGTGAGAAGCAAGAGCAGCTTTTTACGATAAATGTTATTGTTGGTTGGCGTTATTAAAACAACTATCGGGAGCTAATGAGTGATTGATTCTTGTATTGTGTTATGTGATAGAATAAGACATTTAGGAGCGTCAAAATGAAAATAATTTATGTACAAATGAATATATAGGAAAAGATTGCATTCAGTATATGACACAGTGAGAAAGGATTACTTGAGAAAAGGAAAAGCAATTTTAAACTCAAGGTTTGAGGGAAAGCAAAGAGTGTACACACCTATACCACTATGACGAGTTCTGAGCCATGTCATCTAGAGTCTCCAACCACGGTCTATGGTAGTCGCGCGAAACCAAACCAAGTAGTCTGCCTCTACCAACATCGCTCAGGTCACAAGTTAGTGACTTTATGAACTGACGCCACATTTTGGTTTGGCTGCTACCAACATTCCTTCATCCACCTCCAACACTAGTGAGCATTGTGGGTAGTGATAATTGGTAGTTGTGCATGCACAATAAGTGGCCCAACCATATCAGTCGATGTAGACTCACAATCTTATCAACTGATTCACAATCATTCCCTAATGACCTGCGTCTAACCTAACGAATACTTACTCGATGATCCCAGAAGATGTGAGCAATATTTTCAAGACATCTGCAATCAGCTTACGAGCACCTTCTACTCTTAATGGCCACGTTTCATGGCCGTAAAGTTGAACGGAACGAGCTAACTTTCAATAAACTCGTCTTTTAATTGACACACAGACATTTCGCCTTTGCCATAGGTGATGCGAGTTAAAAAACCTAAACGAGCTATTTAAATACGTGCGGAGATTTCGTCAAACATCAACATGTCAGAGTTGATCAAACTTCCAACGTAAGTGAAATTGTCGAGTTGTTCGACTACTTCACCACCTGTCTTTAGTTCAGGTGTTGATGTAGACCAGTTCTGAAAAGGTGAAGAAACGCACCCCAAACATCCTGACATTGTTGTTCAGTGCTACCGACAGACTCTGCATTTTATCAGCGTCTCAACCAAACTGGACAATTTCATGCATGTGTTCTAAGTTTTACTAGTGGGAGATTGATTCTTGAATATTCAGTCGACGAAATCTTTATTTCCTGTGGTACGTGTTTGAAGAAATTGCTCAAAATGAAGAGAGTGGACAGCCTTGTTAGACACCACTTGACTGTGCTAACGTGAGTAAACCGACCACCGTCCTATAAAGTCGAAGTATCTTGTTTCAAACTCACTAATGTTTGGCATTTGGTAGTTACTTCTTATAGGTTAATGCTGGGACAATTTTCAAGTTTGCTAGGTATTCTCATTCAAATATCATCATCCTCAGATGAATATGAGCTACAGACAGATACACAGCATTTAAAATGGTCTTCCATCATGGAAGACAACTTGAAGCTCTCACATTCTCGGTTCACCGTTCTCTCATTTTCCATACGGTCATCTCCTTGTACTTTCATCGTCTTTATGCATTGTTAACCTACGTTAAAAGAAATAACTGTTCTCAAAATAATTGAGACAGGGTTTTAATTGTTTCATCACAACTAAAGTGCCATTTGTTTCTTGGCAGAATGAAGTTTCTGTAGCATTCATGTTCCTTTGTTCCAGGTTTCGTTAGAAGCATTTTGATTTCTGAAACGTCACCCAGTCTGTAGAGATCAATAAGGAACAGAGCTTTATATTTGTTAAACCATGATCAGGCAAAAAGAACACTACTAAACCACCGAAGTCATTGCTGACTTAATTGGTATGTGTTCATTGCAGTTCAACAGAAGTAAAGTTTCACTGAAATAGGTACATTTCCGAATGAGGGCTTCCATGATTCTTAATTAAGATTGTCAACACCGCTTCTCTTGACGCTTCACATAGGCTTCTAGTTTATCAAAAGAAATATTGATTGTAGCTTTCTCCGTCGACACTGATAAGTATTCTGACTGAAACGTTGAGTCGTTTTCTTCAGCCTCACCAACAGCAACACAACAATTAGGAATACGTAATTGCAGAGTGTGATGACGAAATTGCCGAAAGTTTTCAATGTAACATTCTCTGTATTTTTTAACATTGTACTGGAATTTCTAGTAAGTTGATTTTGTATAGAAGTAAATAATCTCATAGAAAAGTCTGTGAAATTGGTAAGTTGAAGCGCGAAACTAGTAGGTCGTGGGTTCTAATCTTGCAGAGTGCGAGGTCGTGGGTGCGAACTGCTGAGGAGTCCCACAATAGGACGAAACGGCCGTCCAGTGCTTCCAGGTTTTAAGTGGTGGTCTAGCCTCAACTGACTCATGATCTTAACTATTGAAATTGAAGCTGTTTTAACGCGCGTTTCGTCCTATGTGGGACTCGTCAGCTGGATGTACCTGCACCTCAGAATTGATTTTCACTTTGGGACTCGATCCTAGTACCATTTGCCTCACACACCATCGCGTTATCCACTCAGCGCGTTTTGGATTCCATTGCTAACCACTATCAATCATTGCTGACGGAAAGCTTGTGAAATAAGGCAATGTCGTGGCATACAAACAGTATGCACATATGTCAATAACAGACTGATCACTTGCAATCTTAAACCTCAGTGGGAAGATACAAGCCAAACAATACCAAGTGAAGTCATTATCATTGTTTGAAAGTTAACTGAAGGGCTTAATAAAATTAAATTTATAGGATTTAGTTGAAGATGAGGTGTTATACCCTACACCGACATGTTCCCTCTCATTCCTTGTTATCTCATGTCAGTCATTTGTAAACATTTTTCTATTTATTTGATTGTATTTATCGAACAACCATATGTAACCAGGCTCACTCAAATTTCAACTCCTCTCCTTCATATTGCGAATTAGCAACACACACACAAACTAACGTAATAATGATTCACACAGAATAACTTGGCTTGACATTGACAGAATTACACATGCTATCACTTGGATTGGTCTAAGTATTCTGCCTTGTTCCTCTGTACCATTCAAACCTGTGTTTAGAACCTCTTGTCGTTTAGAACATAGTGTGGTGTGTGCTACTTATATTGACATAATTAGCATATGATGTTAGTCGTGAACAAAATGTCTAGCACCAGAGAGACAAGAGGATCGAACAGTAAAGAATGGAAACAATGCAATTTGTATAAAAATGCATGAACAATGAAGTCGGAGTCATTTTGAGACAATTGGTGGACATTTTTCAAATTGAGCATTTACTTTATGATTGTTAGATTTTACTACCAATCCCTGTAGTTTTGTGTTAAATACATCCGATTGTTCCTCACTGGTGTTCTTGTTCACTACATTTGGTAGCGCCGCCAACCAGGAGGGAAAGGGTGCTGTTCTGCGGACGCCGTTGCGTGTTTGGAGCTGAGGTGCTAGTTGGGACAGTCTGGTGCGGAGAGGTGGCGTCGAGTGGAGTGTTCTGGCGGGGCGGCATTGGCTGTGGTGGATGCTGTCGACGGAGAGAAACGGTGGGATGTGCTGGGCGGACATAGGATGTAGATGGCTCAGCAGGTCGGTGAGGCACGGGTGTTAAGCGTCCCAGGTGCCGGATATTGTTCCACTGGCAGGTCGACGGGACTATGGAGGTCAGCGCGCCGCGGACTCAACATTTCGACGGAGAGCGTAGCAAAAACTGAAGAGACGAAGAATGTGACACGTTGAGCATGAACCACTGCAAGAACGACTGCTTTAAAGGCTGGTGGACGTGTGTGGTGTGTGCTACTTATATTGACATAAGTAGTATATGATGTTATTCGTGAACAGAAGGTGTGGCAGTAGATAGACAGGAGGATCGAACAGTAAAGAATCGAAACAGTCTGAGTCATTATGAGACAACTGATGAACATTTTGCACATTACGTATTTACCATTTGATTGTTAGATTTTAATAACGAGTCCCGTAATTTACGTGTCAAATACATTCGATTGTTCCTCACTGGTGTTCTTGTTCCCTACAATAGCACTATTCGACAGGAACATATCACTCTGGGTGAAGACATCTTGTCTTATTAATAGACTGTACACTTGTCATTGCGACGGTCCTAGTTTCTAACACGACATGCTGTATCATGAATATACACACTGTTCAGGAATCACATCCTAGGAGAGAACAGCCATTGGATACCTTCATCTATTCAATGATGGTGAAACACTGATCGGTTCATGATCTCAGTTTGAAAAGTTTGTTTTTACTTTACTTTCATCCTAAAAAAACACTTTTAGAGAATAATCATAATCAAATTGTCTGAAAGTTTGTTTTCTTTCAATTATCTG